CATATTATTTGAGGTATTTAGAATTCACATATGAATGGGGTTGTAATTATTCATTTGCCTCCTCTCTAGCTGTTCTCTGTTATAACAGAGACCTGTTGACAGTGTGGTGATATTTCAGTGAATTTTGACATGGCAGGATTTATTTGTCATTCTGTTTTGTCACCTATACTTAAGTTTTTAAATTCTGTATCCTTTCTGCTTTAGGAAAAGATTGTCCAAGATTTTTAATCAGTTTTGTATAAAGATGTTTCTCTCTCTTATATCCAACTTTCTGGCTTGTTCAGTTGCTTTAGCTACTTAAAAATTGATGCAAGTGCAAAAGGAATTTGTAGTGCAATCCTATATGAGTAAGCTGCACTGAGTTCAGTGAGACTTGCTACAAATCTGTTGCTCATGTATTGTTTGAGGCTTTTAGATTTAGTAATTTGATAGGCTCATACAAAAAAACAGCAAAATGAATTGGGCAAATATTGTACGCAAAGATGTAAAGCCTTTGCAAACAAAGAATAGTAGCTGTAATAGTTCATTGTTAACAGAAGCAGTGAGTTTGGATTATGCCAAGGTAAATCTTCAGGCTTAGATACAAATGTCCAAGATATGTGACCTTGGTGTATATTTTGCTGATTCTCATTTTGATTAAATATTCAGCTGTGTACAGGATCATCAATTTGCAACCTGCTTTGCTGAAACATCTACTTTTTTAAGGAATGCAGTATTGCAGTGCTTTCTGGAGCCTGTTTAGTTTTGCTGCCCTATGCCGATGGCTTTTACAGTGGGAGGTTTTTTTTTTTAGGGGTTTGAGTGAGCTTCCCCAGTGTTAGTTTTGTGTGACTTTTGAATATCAATAAATTGAGTAAAATATACATTATCTGCTAAGATTTCCTTAACTACCCTGTTTCCCTGAAAAGAAGACCTAACTGAGAATAAGCCCTAGCATGATTTTTCACCCCTTCACGAATTGCTGCCTTGTTGTGGTGAAGAGGCTTGAGTAATTCAGAGAAACTATGGGCTATGCTGTGCAGGGACACTCAAGATGGACAGGTCATAGTGGAGAGTTCTGACTAAACATGATTCACCTGGAGCAGGAATTGGCAAGCCACTCCAGTATCTTTGCCAAGAAAACTCCAAGGACAGAAACAAAAGGCTAAAAGATATGATGCTGGAAGATGAGCCCTTCAGGTCGGAAGGCGTCCAATATGCTACTGAGGAAGAGTGGAGGACAAGTACAAGTAGCTCCAGAGCTAGTGCAGTGGTTGGGCTAAAGCTGAAAGGACACTCAGCTGCAGACGCACCTGGAAGTGAAGGGAAATTCAATATGGCAAAGAAGAATACTGCATAGGAACCTGGAATGTAAGATCTATGAACCTTGGGAAGCTAGATGTGGTCAAACAGGAGATGGTAAGAATCAACATTGACATCCTGGGTGTCAGTGAACTAAAATGGACGGGAATGGGTGAATTCAATTCAGACGATTATCGTATCTACTATTGTGGGTAAGAATCCCGTAGACAACAAAAGAGTGGGAAAAGCAATACTGGGATACATTCTCAAAACTGATAGAATGATTTCAATACAAATCCAAGGCAGACCTTTCAACGTCAACAAAAGAGTGGGAAAAGCTGTACTGGGATACAATCTCAAAAATGATAGAATGATTTCAATATGAATCCAGGGCAGACCTTTCAACATCACAGTAATCCAACTTTATGCACCAACCACCGATGCTGAAGAGGCTGAAATTGACCAACTCTATGAAGACTTGAAACACCTTCTAGAACTGACACCAAAGAAAGATGTTTTTCTCATTCTAGGGGACTGGAATGCTAAAGTAGGGAGTCAAGAGATAAAAGGAACAACAGGTAAGTTTGGCCTTGGAGTTCAAAACAAAGCACGGCGAAAGCTAATAGAGTTTTGTCAAGAGAACAAGCTGGTCATCACAAACACTCTTTTCAACAACAACGCAAGAGGCGACTCTACACATGGACATCACCAGATGGGCAATACCGAAATCGGATTGCTTATGTTCTCTGCAGCCAAAGATGGAGAAGCTCTATACAGTCAGCAAAAACAAGACACTCAGCTGATTGTGGCTCTGATCATCAGCTTCTCATAGCAAAACTCATGCTTAAACAGAAGAAAGTAGGAAAACCCACCGGGCTAGTCAGGTATAATCTAAACCAAATCCCTTATGAATACACAGTGGAAGTGAAGAACAGATTTAAGGAACTCGATTTGGTGGACAGAGTGCCTGAAGGACAATGGGTGGAGGCTCATAACATTGAACAGAAAGCGGCAATGAAAACCATCCCAAAGAAAAGAAAATTCAAGAAAGTGGCTGTCCAAGGAGGCCTTACAAATAGCAGAGAAGAGAAGGGAAACAAAATGCAAGGGAGATAGGGAAGGTTACAGAAAATGGAATGCAGATTTCCAAAGAATAGTAAGGAGAGACACACGAGGGCCTTCTTAAATGAACAGTGCAAAGATATAGAGGAAAATAATAGAAAGGGAAAAACCAGA